AGCTTGTAGCCACAGGTTAAAGTAGCAACAGAGATCTAAAGCTTCACTTTTTCACTCCGTTCTCTCTTCACCACAACTGATGCAGCAGATGCGGCACTACACTTGGAAGTCGCTGCACCACTCTCCCCTCACTCATGAACAAGACACTGAGGTATTTAAACCGAGGCCTTAGACTTTGAAGTGCTAATTCTTATTCACATCGTTTCACATTTTTCTGCAAAGAGAGCTGGAGGTCATCGTCTGATAAAACCAGAAGAACCACATCTGCAAAAAGCAGAGATGGAGGCACCAAAGTGGACAGCAACTAAAAATTCTATTGATGAACTGAATCGGTAACCAGCCAGAGTCCAGTGCTCACTGGGAACAGGTCCAATTAATCCTGACCATACGAACCCAAAACACCATCCCAGAACTATTTCAGCACATACACCTTAATGAAACGGTGCCACAGTGTTCATACCTGTCACAAATCCAGCCCTTGTTGCTCATTGGTCGCTTGCAGTTGCTGCAGTTGATGTGCAGTGTAGTTGATGTCTGGTTCAGGCAAGTGATGGCGCTGCACGTGCTCAGTTTGATGACCTCATTGGACACGTTCCACAACTCGAATCGCTGCAGCAGGTCTATGTAGGACATGTACCAGTGCTCCTGAAACGGAAAAATAAAAGTAACTGCTCAGACTGCAATCCGTGCTGTCACTGTATCGCTAACCTTGGAGGTTTTTTAAGCTACAAATACAATTTAAAGTCATATAAAAGGCCTAAATTTCACTTGTTTCTAACATTTAACAAAACAGAGTTGTTGTTTTTTGTTTCACTAACTGACCTGGGTGAGGTCATCGATCTCTTTGCGAATCCGATCCCCCAGAACAATAAGCACCGACACGGCCATCTGCACATCGCCCTGCTCAGCGTAGTAACTCAGCATCTCCCGCACAATGGGGCAGAAGAAGCTGGCGGGCAGATGTGGACTGAAGAGCGGCTGGGAGATGGAGATGAGAGAGAAAGATTCGATGGGTGTCAAACAGGTGACTTCGGCCTCGTTGCCGCTGACGTGCGGGGAGTCGGCCTTGTCCTGCTGAAGGTGCTCCGGAGCGGATGGGTTATCCACGATCTCGTGGCGCAGCTGGAAGGCCTCCTGGGGCAGCGTGTACTCCTGCTCCTCTGTTGAAACGATAGAGGCGCAGATAAGAGACAAAAGGACGCCGAGCAGGAAGACTGTTATAAATAGCAGGCGCTGACATCGGCAACCCCTTACTGAGCAGGCGACGCTGTGACTGACCTGTTTGGTTGTCGTGCTCCATGGAATAGAGGTCATCGTCATCCAACTCAGCATCGCCGAACATATACTCAGGATGGCCCTCGCTGCCTTCCGTCTCCTCGTTTTCTGGAAGAAAATGGAATTGACAAGAATGCTTTGACAGATCATATAATGATGGTCAAAGTCAAACAATACAGAATAATCCTCACTAATAACCTTATTTTTTAATATTCTGTAAATACTGCACCATCATCGCTACAGTGATTTCTTTTGCGTGCCATCGCCACAGACGGCTGTTTAGTGACAAGTCCGGTTGACACAGACACATGCGAACATAACTTTGGTGCCTATTAAACCCACACATATCTGCTTCTCAAGCGTTCTTAAAGCTCACCTTCATTATTGCTGATGTATGAGTTCCCAGGCTCCAGGTGGATGTTGTCCTGCCTGCTCTCACCTTTACTGCGCTCCAGTCTGCTCTCCGCACCCATCCCTGAACCCAGCTCCTTCAAACTGAAACTAAAAAAAAAAACAAAAAAGCAACAGACACAAACTTTACCTTTCAGTCTATAATCGTACGCATGAATGGAGCACAAAAAACTCTGTTTACCTGTTCATTAAGGGCAAGGTGCCGAGTTTACCGAGGTTGTGGTTGGGACCGGGTGTAGCGAGGTTTGCAGGGTCAGAGAACATTATTCTCAGCATTGTCCATGTAGTGGAAACCTTTGGTTTAAATACAAAAAAAAAGTGATTATTCACGGCAAATATACTACAAATGAGAGTTACTGCAGTAGTATTTCCTAAAGGGGAACACAGCCACAATTTCAGCGTTATGTTACAGATCCAACAGGTTCATTTGTGTTACTTACAGTGTGCTAATATGGCCTAACTTTAAATAATGCAGACAATATGTTCATAAAAGAATGAATGAAACACGACTCAATTACTCTAAGCCAGGAATCGCAAACTCATTTACAAGGCCAGTGAAACTCGCCTTTCCATCAGCATGAAGTTTAACTACATAGTTAAACTCTAAGATAGCTGAATATGAGAAAAGAGGAGAAATTTGTACAATATTTTTACATGACAAAAAAATTCTGCTGTGGTAAATGAAGGAAATGTTAGGATGATTTATAATTGGAAGATATAAATGTGTAAAATTACAGAAAAAGAAAAAAATTAGTTTCTTTTAAGAGAGAAAATATCCAGTTTTTTTGTTTTACTTTTTTTTTTTTTTTTTTTTAACTGCAGAAATTTTGCAGTAGATCATTAAAAAAACAAAAAATCATCTATAACTTAATTACTTTGGTATAGCTGAGCTGAAAAGCGTATTAAAAGACAATTAAAACTCCAAAATTTATGCCTTCCTCCTTATTTTCCAAAGCTGTCCAGTGTACCGGATTGGAATCTTTGGCGGGTTGATTCTGGCCTCTGAGCCTTATGTTTGACACTCCTGCTCTAACCCCCTTTCTTAAATTATAATCTACTCTGTATTTAATGATGCAGTGAGTGACTGGAACAGACAGTCTGATCTGAGCTCAAAGGATTAATCTTTAAAAGTGTCAGTGATTAACAACCTTTGTATTTTTACATCTAAAAAACTGGAACCAAACGTTTTCTGAATATTCTATGATATTATGAATATTTTTAACAGGAGACTGCTAATCCAATTGTTCAAAATGTAGCATAATCCGCTCTCTTCCAGAGTCATAGTGGGACCGGAGTGAGAGGTGGGGTTACCAGTCCATTGCAGGGTTAACACATGCACACCTATGGCCAACTGGGAACCTTAATGTAACCTCACCTGCATGTTTTCAGTCTGAAAGGGGAGAATATGCAAACTCCACATAGCCAGCTACTCTATCGCCCAATTTACTATGATCTAAAATATTATTTAAAAGGACCAAAGTCTTTTTCACAATGTCGTCCAATACAAGCCGAAGAAAAAATAAATCTGTTTTTTCAACACTGATGTTGTTACTGAACAGAAAATATTCAATAGCTTAATATATAAATCTCTTGCATTACACGTCTCATATCACTAACAAACAGCAGTACATAACAGATTTGTTCCTGTGCCGATCGGTCTGACCTGAGGTCTTTTAAGCTCCTGGGCCACCTTGGCGTTGTGATCACATAACTCAGCAAACGGCTTCCCGCTCAGGAGGTAGAGTTGTGCCGTCTTGACAAACCAGTCCATGCGGTGACTGTCCAAGTCCGTCTCAAAGACGCTGAGAGCACTGGACACATGTGCAAACTGTTCTGTCGGGTCGGGTTTCTTGAAGAAAAACATGGGGTAGCGGCGGTCGCCTCCGGGGTACGGCTTTCTGTTGGCATCACTGGTGATTAGACTCTCCTTGGCTGCAAAAGCCAAGTCACCCAGCAGTCCAAAGCACAGGCCCTCTGGGTTAGCCTTGTCCACAGGACGTGTGGCATCCTTGAACATATGCTGGTAGAGCGTACTGTCTTTAGAGCCAGAGAGCAGAAAATGAGGGTCATGCTGGTGTCGCCACACAATTCCAGTAGTCACATCCTTGTGTTCCTCAAAGGTAGCAAAGGGAATAAAAGGTCTGCGGATGTCCCACACATAGATGTTATGGTCCACCATCATGGAACAGGTGGCCAAATGAAACTTTCTCTCAGGTCGCCATTTAACTCGTGCCACTGAAGCAATCGTCTGGACGCAGTAGATCTCCTTGGCTCTGTTAGTGGTCATGTCCCAAACCTTCACCATCTTGTCCCTGCCCCCTGTTGCCAGCCAACCCCTAAAATGAAATGAGGTGAACGGCGACAACTGTGTTAATTCAGGCTTCAAAAAATGGGTCTACTGCTCTACAAGGTTACAAGAAACATGTTAGCAAGGAAAAGCTGAAAATTTTTATTTTGTGTCTCATATTTCTTTTCTTACCTGTCATCAGGATGCCAGTCACAGCAAAACACCGGACCGGTGTGAGCAGTGAACATTCTTTCATAGCGGTCCGGTCGTCTAATGTCCCACAGCTGCACGTTGCCATTTTCAAAGGATGCGGCAAATGTGAAATAATCCTTCATGCTGAACTGGACGTCCCTTACACTCTCTGACTGACCTAGAAGAAACAGGGGAAGTTAAGGGATGACATCATTACTTCTGATAAGTGAGAAAGACTTCATTACATTAGGTGAACCATAAAAGTGTTATTAGTTCAGTGTCATTAGTCTAAAACTGGAGTTAACTCCTTCATTAAATCACTCTTTTCCTGTAAAGAAAAAAAAAAGTATTTCTTTAATTACATGATTTTATTTTCACCGTTTAGTGAGAAATTCTACATTTTGTATCTCTCTACCACAACTACAGCAATCCAACCCTTTACAGCTCTGAACCACAGACATCAAAGGTGTCAGTATAGAGGGAGTTCTGTAGTTCTGTAGTGTACGCATTGTAAAGTTCTCACTTCACATATTCTTAACATATTAAGAAGAAAAAGCGCTACTGTTTCATGCAAAGACTTACGTTACATTACACATGAAAGAGTTGTTGCAAACTAAATTACCTGAGAAAGTGCTCACAGACTCCTTCTTGCGCAAGTCGAAGCACTTCATGAAGCCGTCCTGTGAACCACTTAGCAGCATGTAAACCTCTGTTGGGTGGAAGCACACTTTGTTGACGGTGCGCTTGTGCTCAGTAAATAGCTGGTCCTGCTTGTTGCGAGAGGGTTTCCCCAGATTCCACGTCACCACCGCCCCGTTGGTGGCCGCCGTGGCCAGCAGGTTCTCCTCCATCTGATGCCACATGACATCGGCGCAGCTGAAGTTCAGCGACGGTTTGCGGCCGACGCGGAGATTCAGTTTTTCCACGAACTGCTCCTCCTCGAGTGCGTAGATCTTAAAAATGTTCCGTCCTGCTACAACCACCTGCGTGGCATCACGGCACACGCTGATCGCGTTAGCCGGTGCGTCCAAGTGGCAGAACATGGTTCTGCCACTGATCGCATTGCTGCCAAGAGCTGTGGTGACCCTTGACATTTTTTCCATGTTTCTGTTGCAAAAAATAATAACAATAATAGTAAAGACAATATACTTTGTCCCCGCTATCAGGTCAAACCCAGTTAATGTGACATGAGGCATTAGGTATAGAGCTACAAATACAAACTTACAATAAGGCTGTTAGACTCCACCAGCAGGTGGCACTCAAGCAAAATAATAAGTTAGAGTCATACAGCACTTTCTAGACTGGGTGGCAGCATGTCACAAATCAATAATAACCTGTGTCATATGTATGTCATCTGTTAGTTAAACATGTGTAACAGCTTATTAATGCAAATATCTAATCAGCCAATGGCAGCAACTCAGTGAACTGAGGCATGTTGTTTTCTTGGAGATGACCAGCTGCAGTTCAAACGGAGCATGAGAATAGGACAGAAAGTGGATTTAAATTACTTTAAATGTGGCATTGTTGGTGGTGCCAGACAGGCTGGTCTGAGCATTTCTGAAACTGCTGACCAGCTGGGATTTTCTAGGGTTTAAAGAGAATGGTCTGAAAAAGAAAAACTACCAAGTGAGTGACTCTCTCTGGGTGAAAATTACTTGTTGATGTCAGAGGATAATAATCAGAGTGGTCTGAGCTCATAGGAAGGAAACAGTATGTGAAATAACAGCCCAACACAACTAGACCATGCGGAAGAGCATCTCTGAATGTACAACACATCGAACCTTGAAGCAGCAGAAGACCACTAACCGTGAGTACCACTGCTGTCATAAAAGAACAGGAAACTGAGGATACAATTCAAATTCAACCAGGTTCACAAAATCTGTCTCAATTTCTGCTTTTACATTTAGATGGTAGGGTCAGAATTTGGCATGGATACACCCTGCCTTGTATCAAAGCTTTAGCCTGGTGATGGAGGTCTAATCGGCGTGGGGGATTTTTTTGGCACACTTTGTCTCCACAGTCACCAAATCTCAGTGTACTAGAGCACCTGTTCAATCCGCAGTGACTCTGTGATGCTATCATGTCAATATGGACCAACATCTCTGAGAAATGTTTTCAGCACCTTCTGACTCTATGCCACTTTTAATTAAAGCACCTCTGAAGTAGAAACGGGTTCCAACCTGATAATAGCAAGGTGCACCTAACAAAGTGGCCGGTGAATGTTTATAGAATGCAATGACATTCTGAAATGTTGCAGTGTAGTTACACTACCCGACACGTTATTGCTTTAAGTGCATGCAGTTTCTAAATACTCTTACGTATCCTGCTTTTAGTACAAGCTCACCCTGTGGGTTTGTTTGATCTACTCATCCTCTTACGACTTGTAGCCACTTGGTGCTCACGTGATTTACTTCACCAAGTAGCATAAACACACACTAGCTGGCAATGTGGCTAGTGTTTATGCATACTAACACTTTAACCGTTCACCTTCTTAATGCCACGTGTTGTTGGTGTTTATAGTTACTTCTAAACTTGTCTTTACACATCTATTTGTGACTAGTAATTGGCTTGTAGTTTACGCGTCTCCTGCTAAGTTGGCCACAAGCTGCAGAACTCTCTGTACTTTGACCATAAACATGACTGGAATGACATGCTAGTGCTAGCTGGCTAGCACCAGTCGCCGAGCAGGTTTGTAAAGACAAAGCGCAAACGCTACAAGTAGTTAAACAGTCTGACAGATAATTTAAAAAGCTATCAGATTAAGAAAATTCACGCGCATAAAGTAAAACACAAACAACTTTTAAGGACAAACCTTGTGCTGTGAAGCTCGCCTTCTTGCAGCACCGGAAGTAGTATTTTGTTATCATCTCGCGGGATTTCCGTCTGAAATAACAGAAGCGACCATCACGCGGCAAAAACTTACTACTGAGCAGACGTTAGAAACGATCGTGGTGGGTTTGTTTTTATGTCACGTGTACTTCAAAATAAAGGTGACATTTTCTGAATCACCGCAATACATTAGGGCGAAAGCAACACTTGTTAAGCTCAATGTTATTTATTTATTTGGCTGTGTGAAATAAATGCTTCTGTGTTTGCAGGTGATGGTGTGAGCTTTCTGCTGTCATGAGCGCTCTGTTTGCGTGTGAGGAGCCAGGCGCATGGAGGAAAGTGTATGAGAAATACTGGGATGTAGTGGAGGCCAAGGCCAAAGTCAAGAAACCTGGGAAGCTGCTGGACCTTGAGCGGTGGTAATCCCCTATTCCACCTTTTTATCCATGTCAGTTGCGATTTAAAGGTCTCCAGAAAGCTGTGAGCGGACCTGAAGTTGGGGCTTGTATAGTGGATACCTTCTGACCTGGTTTTACCACCATTTCCTCTTGATGACTGTTAATTTAAAATTGAATGTGCTTTTTTAATTGAATTGAACTTGGATGAGTTGGCTTTGCTTTGACTGTAGGATGAAAGGTACACAGATCCTAATCAGTGTCTGTGTGATCAGGTACCAACAGGAGCTGCCCTCACTGATTTCAAGTCGGCCTGACAAACACGTCTCTCTATCAGAGCTAAAGAAACTGATGGAGTGGAAGCTCACTGTGAGTTATTATTTCTGGACTCCAAATCAAAAATGAAAACTTGACATTCAGGTGTGATTAGAGGTTTACGTCCCTTTATTGTGGGCTTGAATGTCATGGTGATTTGGGGCTTTTAATGATTTCTTTGGACTGTTCTTTTTTCCAGGGTGGAATGATTGCACATAGTACATCATCGTTTATTGACTTAAAAAAAAGAACATTGTGTACAAGTTTGAAATTATTTTGGATTTTCACTTGCCCACACAGGGTCAGGGTTATACACACCCCCCCCACTAATATTTGGTTAAATGTCAACCTCAACAAGATGCTTCTGGCATAATTCTGGCTGAATATTTAATCACTCTTCGTGGCAGAATTGGTAGAGTTCATTTAAATTAGTTGGCTTCCTGGCACAGTCCCTGCTTTTTAATTCAGTTTTATTTATAGAGCGCCAAATCACAACAACATTCGCCTTAATGCACTTTATATTGTAAACTAAAGACTACAATAATACAAAGAAAACAGAGAGAGCGGCTCTCTCTCTCATCTCCCACTGTTGCATTTTGGCAACAGTGGGAAACAAAAACTCCCTTTTAACAGGAAGAAATATCCAGCATAAGATAACCTCACCTTTACATACCTCTTGTGCTCTTGTCATTGTCATCAAATAGCTCAATCTTTGCCTTGACTGACCGTAAAACTTTTCTTTAAAAGGCATTTGGCTGGTCCATGTGGGTGGCTACAAATTTCAGTTGAGTTTGAAAGTGCTGACTTTGAGGCAGATCTTGTTTTTTAAAATCATTAAAGATGTATGCTGTACAATCATTACATCCTGGGAAAACAACAGTTCAAAGTAATCATTAAAAATCCAAAATCACCATGACATTTATGCCCATAGTGAGTGTGTGTAAAAGTCTGAGTACTTCTGTATGTTTCCTCAGCACTTGCTTCCTTTACAAGTGCATCTGTTTCACACATTTCACCACATGCACCAGTAATTACTCCTTCAAACACGTAGTATAGCTTTGAAATAGCATGAAGAGTGTTAAAGCACTCTCTTCATCAGATGTGTCCTTGAGTGGCCCTGTGGGCTTGTCTGCAGAGAGGGAAGTTCAGGCCGAGGCTGCAGCAGCTGGTGGCTTCCAACAGCGAGGACGAAGTGGAGAAATGTTCCAGAAAGGCCTTCAGCCTTCTGCCTGACGTGCAGGCCGCCATCGCAGAGCTCAGCTGCCTGAAAGGAGTCGGTCCAGCCACTGCTTCAGGTCGGCACACCATCTTTTCTGGGATATGAAGACAAACGTATGAAACTTTCTCTGTGATCCTCTCCAAGTTTACAGAACAGTGCTTGGATTGAGTAGGCTGTAACTCTCTGTACTCTGTGTAGAAAAGTATATGCACTCGATGGGTGCGTTCAGCGTAGCTTGAGGCTGACTGTCCATCTTGTTCCAGCTGTGTTAGCAGCGGGAGCTCCAGAACAGGCTGCGTTCATGTCTGATGAAGCCATGGAGAGCGTACCGGGACTGAAGCCCATCCAGTACACCGCCAAGCACTACACAGTGTACCTGGAAAAGATGACTGAGAGGACCGAAAAACTAAACAGAGGTAATGACACCAAGCTGGTTACGTCGTCATCTGCAGTATAGACACTACTCATTAAAATACCACATTGGCCTGTGTTTAATGTGCCGTTTTAATGCCTTTATTATATATTTGAATGGTCGTGTTATGTAAAAGTGCTTTACCAAAAAGCTTTTGTATTGCCTCTCGCCCCTCAGTGGATCCGCTGCAGGACTGGACGCCCCACAGGCTGGAGCTGTGTTTGTGGGCGATGAGCATAGCCACACAGCTGCAGCTCCAACTTCTAAAGGACATCGATGTGAGGGGGAGCGCAGCGGGGAAGAAGTGCTCCGACAGTGAAGCTGACCAGAGACCAACAAAGAAACTCAAATCTGCATAAAACCGAACATTTTACATGAATGCCGATTTAAAATTTGTAGTTTTTTCCTTTTTCCAAAATGATAATAAAACCTTTTTGTGGTAAAGTGTTGCGGATCGACTAATCCATCACGTGTCTCGGTTAAATAACGTCAAAAGCAGTAGGATGTTGCCACAGTATTGTTCTTTATTTATATTGTTTCTAAATTAAAGCAAAGTACAATGAACAGTACAAAATAAAACAAAATATATTCATATATATACACAATAGAAAATGGTTCCGTTCAGAACATTTAAAAAGTACAATAGATTGTGAAATCATTAATGAGGACTTTGATATAAATTATCCATAGGTAAATTTAGCTGTCCTTCAATTTCCTCTTGACAGAGAGGAAAAAAAAATAGCTTCTTCTTGCTTGTTCTTTTTGTAAACGCTGTGTTGGTACAACCTCTTGTCTGGGTCTGAGAGGCTGAACCTCGTAAGCTTGGCACCATTTTATAGATACGAGTAAGCAGCTCATGAGAAACTACCAGAGCAGCACAGGTACGACTTTTGTCATCCTAAACTGTGGGAGGGGTTCAACTCTTGCTTTATGAAATGACATGTTTGCATGATATCGTGTGGCTCAGCATTTGCGATCATACTAAAGCTAGAAAATGAGGTTTCAGCAGTGTTCCCTCCTCTCCACCTTTTGTTCCATCTGTACTCTAAGACAGACTTCACTAATGACTGTGTGGTTTCTAAGTGTATCTTAAATTTTAGCAGCTAGGTGGGCGCTGACTATCATTTTCTTTTGTATCAATATTGAGATTAATGTGAGAAATCCAAACTAAATATCTTCTGGGGCCCTTTAAGAACCTTTACTAAGTCTCCTAAGGGTTTAAATGTAAATGTCCACTCACTCTTGTTTGTAGATCAGCTACAGTGCTATATCTAAGCAGAACTAAACACACAGAAAAGGCGACCTGGCCGGCCTGTTGTGGCACACAGCAGTTCAGAGGAGCTACTGGACACACGGATATTTGCACTGTGGTTTCCGTCTCTTATGGATTCTCTGCATCGTCGTGTAGATGGCTGTCGGCGAAGCAGCCTTTCTGCCTGGTGCTTTGCTTTGAGCTCATATATGTAACAAGGCATTGGGCGTACAGCACGATGGATTGGCATAAGAAGGTTAAAGGAAAAAAGCTTCAGAAGAATGATTATGTCAAATGAGACTATGGCACACAGCAACATGTCAGTTAAGTACATTATAAGAAGTGCAAAAACAAGAAACAAAATACATGTGACAAAAACCAAGAAGTCAGAAACAGCCAGTGTCGAGTATGAAGCTATAAAGTTGCATTTTGAATGAGGCGAGTAGAAACTTTTAGCCTGATCTCATAACGCAGTCATCGTGACCATTTTGAGACAATTCGGGGGAGGACGTGGATCATCTGTAGTGATGGATTATTGGCTGCTCGCGCCACCCCTCACAGAGACTTCCTGTCGACTGTCAAAAACAACTACGTCACCTAACGACAGCAATTAAATTAACATCATTCCGCCTTGTCAGATCCACTTATTAAAGGAAGACATCCTGTTTAGGGTCTGGCTTCGGGCTCTCGTCGTCGTAGCAACCATGTATCAGCCCTACTCTGCACAGGGAGGGGGGTCAGGATGGGGGAAGCTTCAGGTGTCTCTCACAAACTGTCACATGCTGTCAGAGCTAGAGTGTCCTCTCCTTTAAGATGAGCTGGAGGATGTAAAGCAGGGGCATCTAAGGAGGCGAATCCAGGTGTGTTGTTGCTGCGGTTGGCTCAGGCTCAGGGGCCAGGAGAGTTGGCTTACAGGAAACTGGTAAATTAATCCTAAAAACTTCTCTCCTACTTGGTTTTTTCTTTTCCTGCCAATGCTATCGAACGCTTTGCTCTTAAAATAAATAAATTCAAACACTAGCCGTTTCACTTTGTACAGCCTTTCACTTTGTTCCTGCATCTAGTTCTGGGAGTGGTTATATTCACAGTTGACGTGTTCTACAAAAACATAGCCATTGACTAGCCCTTTTTACAACCCTTTCGGGTTCCTATGAATCTTAAGTTAAAGAGGCACATTAACCTCCTCTCAGGCATCCGCTTTATCTTCATTATAGGCTAACAGGGTATGTATGCATTATTCATCAACACATCTTTGCTATCTCAAGCAGTAATATTTCCTAGTCAACACAAGAGTTTCCATCAGGGATACATCGCTATCAACTACTGGCTGACCTTGTCTTGTTTAAATGTATCTGAAAATGGCTTATTATGGCTATTTAACACCCATTCCCTCATTTAACATGGAGTCCTCTGTCACTACTGACAGTTTCATGTGGAAGCAAACGCTGAGGACGGCAAGACTGGCAAATGCTAAAAGAAATTTTTTCCTCCCTCAGGCAGCCAGTGGACATCCAAATGAATTATTGATTGAAAGACTGAAAAATGGAACGTAGCATTGAGTAAATATAATTGCCATCCTCGCCTCCACTTTCCAAAAAGCCCGAATCACTCAGAAGATAAAATATATGACAGGAGCCCTGTCCATAATTTGTTATTTGCAGAAGAGGAACTGCGGAGAAGCGTCCGCACGCCGCAGGGGGAAGAGAGTCTGGGAGATGTGGGCACTTGCAGAATTAAGCTGCATTGGCTGCAAACGAATTGGCGAACAAGTCATAAATAAAAAGGAAAAAGAAAATGAGTCTAGCTACATGAAAATATCTCAAACAGTCCAAGGTATCACAGGAGTGTCTTCTTTTCATTTCACCTGCTGAATATTCACAAAGAGGATATCATTTTTTATCACTCTCCCTCTCACTCACACACACACACACACACACACACACACACACACACACACACACACACACACACACACACAC